ACACCCCCCAAAAAAAAAAAAAAAAAAAAAAGACAAATGTTTCAAAATTCCTCCTAAGAGTTGGAAATTATAAATGGATAATATAAATGCAAAAAAAGGCAATTATTTCTCAATTCCTCCTAAGAGCTGGAAATGATAAATGGTATTTATATTCTGTGGTGAGTAATGATAGCTATCTTGTAATTTGATCCCAGTCTTCTCTCTCTCTTTTTTTTTGAATTAGAGTCTCACTCTGTCACCCAGGCTGGAGTGCAGTGGCATGTTTACGGCCACTGTAGCCTTGACCTGCTGGGCTCAGGTGATCCCTCCACCTTAGTCTTCCAAGTAGCTGGAGCTACAGGCGTGCACCACCATCCCCGGCTAATTTTTGTTGATTTATTGTAGAGACGAGGTCACGCCAACTTGCCCAGGCTGGTTTCGAGCCCCTGAGCTCAGGCAATCTTCTCACCTTTGCCTCCTAACGTACTAAGATTACAGGTGTGAGCCACTGCGCCCGGCAATCTCAGGCTTCTTAACCTTGAGTTTTCAGACTACATGACACAGTAAGGTAGATCATTCATCTTCTCTGCAATGCCCCATCCCTTTTTCTCCTTATGAGTTCTAAGGAAGACTAGTAAGCTGTCTCACTACAGTGGAGTGTGTTCATTTGCGTGTGTGGGTTAGGTTTTGGTTTTCCTGTCCTATGGTCTTCCTACATACAGTGGTGTATTCCTACTCTGATATATTGAAGTTAAGTGGCCATTAAGTTACAGCAGCCCAAATATCTACTCTTTGTAGATAATTTACAAGGTATTGCAAGAAGGGAATGTTGACATTGACAGTGCTTTTATTTATTTTTTATTTTTTTACTTTTTGAGTTGGAGTCTCACTTAGTTTCCCAGACTGGAGTGCAGTGGCTGCTCCCGGCCACTGCAGGCTCGACTTGCTGGGCTCCGGTGATCCTTCCGCCTCAGCCTTCTGAGTAGCCAGAATTACAGGCACACACTACCACGCCTGAATGATTTTTTGATTTATTTTAGAGATGAGGTCTCGCCAAGTTGCCCAGGTGGGTCTCAAACCCACGGGCTCAGGCAATCCGCTCACCTCAGCCTCCCAAAGCGTGGAATTACAGGCTGAGCCACTGAGCCCAGCTGACAGTGCTTTTATTTTGGACGTGGTTGTAAGGTTTTTCTTTGTGTTTTAGTTGTGTTATTCGTATTTGATATGTGTGACCTGAAATTACTAGCAGTGGTCCATTTGTACATTCTTATTCAAAAAATATTTATTTGATATCCAATATGTTCCAGGCACTGTTATGAGGCCTAGTAATACAGCTTAATTTAGTGTCTCTACTGGCAAATAATCCATATTTATCAGTTAACTAGAATTTATGAATGCTAAGAAAGAACACAAATATATCTTCTCTGCTTCAGAAGAACTAGCTAGCTGGCTTTAGATTGGGGGGCTGATTATTTTTGAATCACATGATTAAGAAGTAGAAGCCAAAGTGAGGTAGATAATTTAGGGGGAGATGTGAGCATGTAGACAATAAAATATCACTTGTGAGTAGCAGTATTCACAGACAGAACCAGTGGAGCAAGAATTTGCTAATAAAATATTTTTTACCTTAATATAGGTTCTTCATGGGGAGCAATACTTGGAGTTATATAAACCACTTCCCAGAGCAGGTGAGTTCTTGATATACTGATACCATAATACCATACTTTTATTTTCTGATTGACCTTCTAAACAATGTCAATGTATTATACTGGCATAGAGTGGCCTAGTAAAACATACCACAAGTTATTTATATGCATGTAAACTATTTGAATAGATATTAATCTCAATAGATTGAGGTTACTTTAAACTTTTTCCGTTAATAACCTTAAAATAAATTATTTCATAATACTAACAATTAATGTATGTGTTGTTAACAACTGAAAGGACCATATGTGTGTGTGTGTGTGTGTGTGTGTGTATGTGTGTGTGTGTGTTCTAAACCTAGTGATTGTGTATAATTAGTTATGATTCCTATGGTTATTGTTCTTCATTCTTTTCTCAGATACTTATCTTGATACTAATATTTATAAAGCAAACAATAGTAAAAGATAAAGAATTTCTTGTAATTTTTTTCCCATTTTCTTTCAAAAAATAAAACCAAGTCTACCTTAATAATCATTTTTACTTTTCTCATGAATATCTTACTTGTTTAGTAAAGCTTCTCTTTTTATTTTTCACCATAATTTGATATTTTAAAAATTCCTCTCCTTTGATATAAAAATGTTGCTGTTCAATGACCTCATGAGGCCAATGTTATATTATATATTGGCCTCATGAAATAGTAAAATACAAAAAGGAGTGTTTTATTTATGATTTTTATTATTTCACATTATGCAGTGTAGAGAGCTCAGCAACTAGCTAGAATTCTATTGTAGTATTTTTCTTAAACCTTTTTATTTTACTAAAAAAATTAAGAGATTTTTGTTTAAAACTGAATGGCTTTATTTCTGTGTAAGTATTATGGCATAAGTTTTCAAAACAGCTCTTTTTATCTGAGTCAGTGCACAGTTTTGTAGTGATTGTACATTTGTCAAATATCTCCTGGGTACCTACTATTTGCAAGGCATAGTATTAGGTAGTAGATAATTTCCTAACCTGCCTGCATGTCAAAATCAGATGTGTTTTTGCATTGTATTATGCTACCTGTTATTTTAAATAAAATATGGATTCTGGATCCTACCCCTGAAGATTTTATGTGTTTGTGCAGGCACATGTGAATGTAGTGGGGTGTTGGTGTTGGTGGCAATAGTTAGGAAGTTTTTTATGTACTTCATATGCAACCAGCCTAATGGGTTCATTTGGGAACCACTGTTATATGGGAAGTAGAAATGTGTAAGGTAGGTTTCTGCCTTTAGGGAATTATAATATATAGAAAGAGAGATTAGATGTATACTCTAAAATGATAATCACTGAGCAATAATATGAATAGGAAGGTGTGGATAATAATTTTCTTAATTGTTTTAACCTCCTTAGCCTCAAATTGTATTTCTCATGAGTTATTTTTCTTTAGTAGTGTCTATGCATGTCTTTATGTAGTTTTAAAGTGTACTCTCTGGTAAATGTGAATGTTCAAATTTGAGATACTTGGGACCTGAAGTCTTTTTTGAAATTTTATTTTGTTCTAGAGATGAAGTAAGGATTAACTATACAAGTAGGCTGCATGCAGGTGAAGTTTTAAACCACAGAAAACCAAGGTCATGACCATTATTTATAATTTTCCCATAAAGCACAGCAATTGATGAGACATAGGGCCTTAAGCATCAGGAGACTTATGTCAGCATTTCTTAATGTTTCATTTGTTAGCTACAGTGGTGTTATAGGCTGACTTACCCTCCTCATGTTAAAAATACCCACTATATAGAGTAAAAGAAACCTAGCAGCAGTACTTTATTTTTTTTCATGAATCAGAATGTGCTCTAAGCCCAGGATGTGCTGGTCCGAGATTTTCTGAGTTCAAGTTTTTGTTTGGTGGCTTTGTTTATTAGATCCTCTTGATAATTTCTATTATTAGTATAAAATGTTGCTCTACTTCATCTGGAAAATGAGATTGATAATTTTACCAACCCTGATTCTCTCACAAGGAATATGTGACTATTAAATATTAGTACATACAAAAGAACTTTTGAATAGTTAAGCATTATGTAAAAGTAATTATTATGCCATAATTTAATGATAGAATCCCATGGTATTGTGGTTTTGATTGTTAGGGTAGATTTAATCTTTTTCTCCTAAGTACTCATATTTAAGTTTTTTTTTTTTTTTTTTTTTTTTACAAAACTATAAAATGATATTTACTCATAGAAAATTTTGAAACTACAAAAAAGTATAGCATGAAAACAATTATCTGTAATTACTTATTCACTCAGTGAATAATATTTATTAATATTAATATTACCTATTTTTTGAAAGGCATTCTGCTAAGGATTGGTAATGTAGCCATGAAAAAGATATCATTCCTGCTTATATAAAGTTTAGAGTCTGTCTAAGAGACAACAGGGAATGATAAATATTGCATAATAGATTATAATAGGAAAAGTATAAGAGTGGCACAAGAGCACACAGGAAGGTCTCTAACCTGGAATTGAACTTGGGTTTGGGGAAAGCTTCTTGGTGGAGATTAATTTTGAGGTGAAATCTGAAGGATTAATTAAGATCTAATCATGTAAAGAGGAGACTGAAAAATGTTTCAGGCAATGGAAATGCTACATACATAGGTTTGGAAGTGTGAAAGAACATTGGCCCATTAGGGGAACTGAAAATAATTCAAATTTCCTTAAGGTCAAATTGGAGAGGGTAGCAAGATCTGAGAGTAGAGAGGTAAGAAGGATCTTGAAAGGTCTTGGAAGTCATGTTAAAAAGTTTAGATTTCATTCTAAAGGCAATAGATAGCCACTGAAAGAACTTTAAGTAGGAAATAATTATATGAACAGATCTGACTTGACTTCTCTTTTAGCATCTCTTACATCCATATAGTTACCAAGTTTTTTGATTCTCTTCCTTAAATACATTCAGAATTCTTCTATTTCTGTTCATTTCTACTTCTAGTTTTTTGTTTCTTACTTTGTTCATCTCTCACCTTCATTCTTGTTCTCCTCAGGTCCATTCACCTTACTGCAGCCTGAATATTATTTCCAAAATGCAAAATGTACTTTCCTGTCTAAAACCCCACATGGCTATCTATAGGCTTCAGGATGAAGTAAAAAGTTTTTAGTATAATATAGCTGCTATCAATTTCTACATACTTAAGTGTTACCTTATATGTACTCTCTATTCTATGAGTCAGGGATGTTCAAGATTTTGGCTTGGCAGCTGAGTGGATAGTACTATTCATTTATTCAGACAACAAAAGAGAAAAGCAAGTTTTGAGAGAAAGATGGAGTTTATCCCCAGACAATGATGCTGTTTCAAGTCAGCACCAGTTAAAGGACGGAGAAAAGAGTCCATAAAGAACAGTGTTTAGAAAGAAAGAATGTTTCGTTGAATCATTAGAGATTTGAGAAGAAATGGGCTAAATGACATTGGTTGTATGCTTAACAAATGTTTGTTGAATAACAGAGTTAAAAAAAAAAAAAAAAGAGAGAGACCAAGAGGAGTCCTTGACTTTGAACATGGTTATTTGAAAAAATCTGATTTATTGGTAATATTGTTGTTACAAATTTAGTGACTGAAGTATTCTGTTTTCTTTTAATGTTGAATTATTTTTTTCTAGTGAGTTCAGGCAAATTATTTCAAACTATAATATTTTAGTTTTGCTGAGCTTATAGTGGAAATGATATGAAATTCATATCTTAATATAGTAATTTTTTATCTTTAAAACAGTTTAATTGTTTCTTTTAATTTTCATTCTAGGAGAATTAAAATGTGAAGCAGTTGTTGCTGATGTCCTAGATAAAGGATCTGGTGTTGTGATTCTTATGGATGGTAACTTATTTACAATTCTTATAATAATATTGTTAAATTGATAGGGTTTGTATGTGACATAATACCTCACCATAGAAGTTGATTAATAAGTTTGTATTTGTTTTTCAATTAATAAGAAAACAAGATAAGCATTTTAAAATTCTTTAACAAAAATCAAGGAAAAGGAAAAGGAAGGGCTAGGACTGGGGAGGATGGGGCATTTTAGTGGATTTCAAACAACATAAAGCAAAGGGTTGAGAAATGTGGCTTGTATAGAGAACATAGAGGAGAATTAAGCTTGCTGGTATATGTTTTTGGTAGGAAGAACTATTAGATAGCCCTCAGTTGATAATTAGGCTATGAGGTAGATATTCTTTTCTATGTTAGCAGTTTGGAAATTGGAACATACTTGACCACTGAATTATTCTTATAAATGGTATTTAAATTCCTAGACTTGTACATTTATAAATCTCTAGACTTTAGTTTATAATGTGGTTTAAACACCATAGCCACTGTTTTGGAACTTGCCTTGTTTTTACTTAATCTATGGAGAACGTTTTTGATGCTCTTAATATTATGTCTGTTTAGTCTCCTTCTTCTTCCCATCTCTTCCTTCTCTTCCTTTTCTTCTTCCTCCCTCTTCTTTTTTCAGATTTTTGTACTTATCATTCTAGATGTTGACCAATATTTGGCTACAGTTCTCTTGGTCTCCTTTAGTCTTCTCACCATTGTACCAGATGTAACATACTCTAAAACAAAAGTCCTGCAGAAACTTTGCTTTGATTTTCTCTTTGCTTCTATTTTCTCTTCATCTGTTCCATTTAGTCAACTACAACTTGGTAGTGGGTCATAATGTATTAGAACTTGTAAATATAGATATTCCATTTCTTGTGAGATGATTTTAAATACAGATTTAAAATCTTTATCACACAGGAAATGGAATATCTATATTTACAAATGACTTTTCTTATTTTTTTGTTATAATTAGATTTTTCTTTTCTTTTTTTAAAATAAATTTTTAATTTTAAATATGTGTGATACAATTCCAGGTTAGGTATACAAATGTTTGTTATGCAGGTACCCTTGTTGATGGGGTGTGCCCCCTCCGTAGTTTCCCACTACTGCCACTCCTGCCTCTGACCTTCCCTGGCAGTTTCCCACAGCTGCCAATCCTTTCCTTATAGTATTATATTAGTTGTTCGAGGTCTGCTTATGAGTGAGAGTATGTGATACTCGGTTTTTTTGTTTCTGGGATAGATCACTCAGTATTATAGCCTCTAAGTCCATCCAAGTTGCTGTGAAGTTCATAATTTTGTCCTTCTTTATGGTACGTAATATTCCATCATGTATATGTACCACATTTAAAAAAAATCCAGTACTCTTTCTATGGGTAGCCTGGTTGGTTCCATGTTTTTGCTATTGTGAATAATGCTGCAATAAACGTTGTGTGCAGGTGTCTTTTTTATAGAGTGATTTGAGTTCCTCCAGGTATATTCCCAGTAGGGGAATTGCAAGGTCATGGGAGGTTGATTTTTAGATGTTTTAGGAATTGCCATGTTGTTTTCCACAGAGGCTGTACTAGTTTACACTCCCACCAACAGTGTAGAAGTATTCCTTTTTCTCACATCCTTTCCAGCATCTGTTGTGTTTTGAGTTATTGATGATAGCCATCCTGACTGGAGTTATGTGATATCTCAGTGTGGTTTTAATTTGCATTTCTTTGATGATTAGTGAGGCAGAGCATTTTTTCATGTTTCTGTTGGCTACTCATATGTCTTCTTTTGAGAAGTATCTATTCATATCTTTTGCCCACTTTGTAATGGGGCTGTTTGTTTTTTTCTTTTAAGCACTTTTGAGTTCCTTGTGGATCCTCGATGTTAGACCCTTGTTAGATATATAGTTGGCAAATATTTTTTCCCAGTCTGTGGACTGTCTCCCCATTCTCTCAGTGGTTTCTTTGGCTTTGTAGAAGCTTGTCAGTTTGATAAGGTCCTACTTGTCTATCTTCTCTCTTATGGCATGGGCACTTGGAGTTTTGATCAGCAATTGGCTGCCAGTTCCAATTTCCATAAGGGTGTCTCCTGTGTTTTCTAAGGTTCTTATAGTTTGAGGTTTTATGTGTAGGTCTTTGATCCATTTAGAGTTGATTTTTGTGTATTGTGATAGGTGGGGGGTCTTGTTTTAATCTTCTGCATGTTGTCAGCCAGTTTTCCCAGCATCATTTACTGAATAGGTTCTCCTCTCCCCCGTGGTTATTGTTGGAGGCTTTGTTGAAGATGGATTGGTTAAGAAATTGAGGTTTTGCTTCTGGAATCTCTATCCTGTTCCTTTGGTTTATATGCCTGTTCTTGTACTAATACCAGGCTGTTTTGATTATTGTAGCTTTTTTTTTTTTGAGTTGGAGTCTCACTCTGTTGTCCAGACTGGGTGCAGTGGTACACTCACAGTCACCACAGCCTTGACTTGATAGGCTTAGGCGATCCTTCTGCCTCAGCCTTCCAAGAAGTTGGAAGTACAGGCGCACGCTCCCATGCCCGGCTTATTTTTTGATTTACTGTAGAGACGAGGCCTTATCAAGTTGCTCAGGCTGGTCTCAAACCCCTGAGCTCAGGCAATCCTCTCGCCTTGACCTCCCAAAGTGCTGGGATTACAGGCTGAGCCACCATGCCCAGCCAATTATTGTAGCTTTATTAAAAAGCTTGAAGTTTGGGAGTGTGATGCCTTCTGCTTTGTTTTTTTTTCTGAGGATTGTTTTTGCTATTCTTGATTGTTTATGTTGCCGTATGAATTTCTGTATTGTCATTTCCAGGTCTGAGAAGAATGCTGCTGGTAATTTAATGGGTATTGCATTAAATCTGTAGATTGCCTTGGGTAAGATGGATGGACAACTTAACAATATTGATTCTTCCAATCTATGAGCATGGAATATTTTTCCATTTGTTTGTGTCGCCTTTGATTTCTTTGAGCAGTGTTTTGTAGTTTTTGTTGTAAAGGTCTTGATTTCTCTGGTTAGGAAGATGTCAAGGTATTTCTCTTTTTTTTTTTTTTTTTTTGTGGCTATTGTGAATGGAATTGTGCTTTTTATTTGGGTTTATTGTTCATGTTTAGGAATATGACTGACTTTTGCATGCTTATTTTTTACCCTAAGACTTTGCCAAAGTCCTTTATCAGTGCAAGGGGGTTTTTGACAGATTCTTTAATGTTTTTGAGGTATAGAATCATGTTGTCTACAAAGAGGGATAACTTAACTTCCTCTTTTCCTATTTGGATACTCCTGATTTCCTTCTCTTGTCTGATTGCTCTAGCTCGGACTTCCAATACTATGTTGAACAGTAGGGGTAAGAGTGTGCATCCTTGTCTTCTGGTTTTCAGGGGAAATGATTCAAATTTCTGTCTGTTTAGCAGTATGTTGGCTGTGGGTTTCTCATAGATGGCTCTTACTATTTTGAGGTTCGAGGATTTTTATCAAGAAGTGGTGCTGGATTTTATCAAAAACATTTTCTGCATCTAATGATATAATCATGTGTTTTTTGTCTTTACATCTGTTGATGTATTTAATTACGTTTATGGTCTTGTGGATGTTGAACCAGTCCTGCGTTCTGGGGATGAAGCCTACTTGGTTATGGTTGATGATTTTTGAGTTGTGTTGTTGGATCCAGTTTGCTAGAAACTTACTGAGAATTTTAGCATCTATGTTCATCAAGGATATTGGCCTGTAGTTCTCTTTCTTTATTGAATCTTTACTCAGTTTGGGTATCAATGTGATGTTAGTTTCATAAAATGATATGGGGAGAGTTCCATCTTTCTCAGTTGCTTAGAATACTTTCAATAGTATTGGTATCAGCTCCTCCTTGTATGCTTTCTAGAATTCTGCTAGAAAGCCATCTGGCCCAGGGTTGTTTTTTTTTTTTATAGATAAATTTTCTTATGACATAGTCAATTTCCTGGGTTATTATTGGTCTATTTAGGGTTTTGATTTCTTCTTTTTGCAACCTGGGGAGGTTGTGTGATATAAGAAAAGTCTTCCATTTCATTTAGGTTTTCGAGTTTGTTTCCACACAGGTATACATGGTAATCTCTGATAATCTTTTGTATTTCTTTGGGTTCAGTTATGACTTCAACTTTTGCATTTCTGATTGTGTTTATTTGGGCTTTTTCTCTCTTTTTCTTGGTCATTTTAGCTAGACTCTTGCTTTCATTGATTTCTTGTATTATATTATTGTCTTCTATGTCCCGAATTTGGGCTTTTATTTTGGTGATCTGGATTCTTCTGCTGAAGTTAGGGTTTTGGTTGTTTTGCTTTAACATCTTCCTTAGGTGATTTGTTAGGCTGTTAACTTGTGATCTTTCCATTTTCTTCATGTGTATTCGTAGAGATACGAATTTCCCTCTCACTGCTTACTACTCTTGCTTTCAGGGCATCCCAGAGATTTTGGTAAGATGTTTCTTCGTTTTCATTTTTTTCTAGGTGTCTTTTAATCTCTGTTTTGATTTCCGTATATAACTAGATTTTTCTTTAGTATGCAGTTCAAAGTCATGCTCTTATTTTTCTAGAGCTGGATATAAACAGATTATATTCAAACTCTCACTAATAAATTAGTTGGTAAATAGAGGAACAGCTGTCATATTCATTACTTGCTTACTTATTTGCTAATTTTCTCACTCATATCACTTATTCATTTATTAATCAATTAATTTAATAAGCATTTATTAGATGCCCTTTTCGGTACCAGGTACTATTCTAATTGCTGGGAATATAATGATGAGCAAAACAGCCATGATCCTGCTTATATGGCTTATATCTTCATTCCCTCTTACTTCCTCTTTTATCTTTCGTACTCTTCTTCAGTATGATAGCAGAATGTTTGGTGGGAGGACCAAGCTTCATCTGTACTTTGACTACTTATATACCTAATCCTGAATTATACCCCACATCTTTAAAATAAAATAATAATAAAATGTTAAAAAAAAAAGGAAGTTTGTGTGATTACCTCCACTTTCTAGTGAGATTATTTGAAATGTTTGAGATGGGAAGAATTTAAATATGAATGACAGTTGGGAAAGTTTAAGAAGAAGTGAAAGAAACTACTATTTCACAATTGAGAAAGGATTTGTGAAGCTGTTTTTTTCTGTCTTTTAGAGACTAGTGGTGAATGAATTAAAATGAAAGCTTTGTAATCCAGACTTGGGCATCTATATATTGCAGAACCCTTTCTGCAATTGGGTTTTGTTTCTAAAACTTTCAAAGGAATTGTTGAACATATCTTGTTTAACTAGTCATGTCTTTTGGTAATAACTCCTGTTATTTTTTTGTTTTATTTACTTTTCAGTCTATTCTTATTCTGGGAAGGAGCTTATATGCTATAATCAGTTCTCTATCTTTCTTGTTGGCTCTGGAGGCTTTGGTGGAAAACGGACATCAGACAAAGCCAAGGTAGACCATAACTTTTTAAGCATAGTATATGTGTTGTTAAGGATTCTTATCTATACAGTTGACCCTTGAACAGCACAGGTTTGTGCTGCGTGGATCTACTTATTTCCACCTCTGCCTTCCCTGAGATGGCAAGACCAAAAATGAAGTCCTTTATGATGATCCACTTTCACTTAATGAATAGTAAATATACTTTTTCTCAATTATGATTTTCTTTTAATAACATTTTCTTTTCTCTAGTTTACTTTATTATAAGAATACAATATATGATACATATAACACAAAATACATGTCAATTGACTGTTTATGTTATTGGTAATGCTTCTGGTCAGCAATGGGCTATTAGTTGTTAAATTTTTTGGGAGTTAAAAGTTATATGTGAATTTTTGACTGTGTGTGTTGGGGTGGGAGTCAGTGTCCCTAACACCAACATTGTTCAAGGGTCACCTCTATTTTGATCTTATCATGTTACCATATGTGTAATTTCACAGAGTGAAGTAGAGATTCAGTAATACATACTTTGAATTAGAATGTGTTGCTTAGATTTGAAGTTCTGTTTATGTGTACATTTCTACATGTGACATACTTTATATATATAAAATTTTTGCTGAGTTAGGTATAACATACCTGAGATAATTATGGGAATATTTGTTACTTTTGTACAATCTTTGTACAATCTTTTGTAATCATTGTGTTAGGTTTTCCTAAAATCTAACACAAGTGTTGCTTGTATAAGTTAAAACCTTCATTCATTAAATGACTTAAATATTTCTCTTGTATAAGACAATTCTAGTTATTTTTTAGTTCTCAAATATTAAAAGCATATTTTTCCTAAAGATATTTTATACTTTGAATTTTATATTAAATTAATGTTCTTTACCTCTGAGTTATTTGTGGTAATAAGATTATACTGTAGCTAATATTCTTCTGTAGTCAAGTATTATTTAAAGCAGTGTGGAATGGTGATATTAATAATGGACCTGCTTGTCAGTGAAGCAACCACAACTTATAAAAAATAATTTAAAAAAACCAACTGTTTAAAGTATCTGGAAGTTAGGGCATATAGCAAATGTAGAAACATTTATTCAAGACAATCTATTATATTTTAGTAAGAACAGTGAGAATTGTGGCATTTGAGTCACAAACCATTCCTTCCTTTCTCCTCCTCTGTATCAGCATGAAAGAAACTGTATCCCAAACCTGTGTAGCCAAGAATGTAGAATCCCTCTGCCCCTAGCTCCCAGAATAGGGCCATGCTGTTTTCCTGGGAGGAGAAGGCCACTATTTTTATCCCTGCCACCAACTCTGAATTGCAGATGTCTATTCCAGGTAAAAGTAACTTACTTGTAGGGCTCTATTTTTCCATATAGTTCCCACTTTTAGAGTGTAAACTGTACCCCACCTATAGCAAGCTAAGAGTACTGGGTCTCTGATTTCCTCTTCTCTGGCTTTCCAATAAGGTGGAAGTTTCATGGTTGAGAAGACTAGAAGATACGACCCCTGCCCAACTCCCATCTTGTAAAGCAAAGGGGTCACATGAAGAGAAATGTGCCACTTTTTTTGCCCAGTCTTCATAGCAGTGGTGCAGATGTTTTGCCTGGGGGAGAGACAAGCTATAATAGCAGAAAGCTCTGAAGCTCTTCTCAAGGGGCCTGACTGTTATCGGAACTGAGTTCTGTATTTGAAAGTTCAAACATAAAGGTACCCCCAGAAACAAGATGATTTTAGTGATAAGCAATTAAGAGAATGCTTGTAGCTTCACAAGAGCAGGAAGCTAAAGTGTAACTCAGCTAGAAGTTTACTAGAAAGAGCCAAGTTGACAATCCCAAGAAAAGCCCTTTTAGGATTGTAACAAAATTTGAAGACTGGCTTCAAAGTTTCCTCTGGCAAACAAGCTAGAATTAAGTTGGATCAGATTTTGGAACAACTTATGCCTTAGTACATTGTTGAAAATAATAGAACAGTCACCTGGCAATTATTGGAGACTAATAGCTGGCAGTGATATTGGAAGAGGCAGACAGCTTAATAGAGAGGTCAAGAAGAGGCAATCAAAGGGAGCCCTGCTAAAACCAGTGTCATCCCAAGGTGACTATGCGCATACTCAAGGTGCACCTTCTGAGGAACAATATCAGAGATTATATTCTGTGGTAGAAAATAGACTTAACTAAAATAGCCAAGTTACTAAATAAATAAACAATATCAACAAGCTGTGGAAGGGAGAGGGATCAGTATCCATAGTTGTTATAATATATTAACTGAAATGCCCAGTTATCAACACAAATTTACAAGATATGGAAGAATCAGGGGAGTGTGACCCATAGACAGGAAACAAACAAACAAACAAGCAAACAAACAAAACAGGCAAATAATCTGCCTTTGACAGGACTTAGTAGACAAAGACTTTCAAAACAGCTATTATAAATAGGTTCTAAGAACTAAAGGAAACCATGCATAAAGAAGTTAAGGAAAGTATGATGATAATGATTCATCAAATAGAGTATTTCTAAATATATAGGTATAAGGTATAATTAATTGAAAAGAATCAAGTAGAAATTGTGGAGCTGAAAGTATAATAACTAAAATAAAAAATTTACAACTGAGGGGCCCAAATGTAGACTTGAATTAATAGAAGGAAGACTCAAAAAACTTGAGGACAGATTGATAGCAATTATACAATCTGAAGAACAGAGAGAAAAAAAATGAAGAAAAAATAATGAAGAGCCTTGGTGGGGGGTGCCATGAAGCACACTAATATTTGTGCAATGGGTGTATCAGAAAGAGAAAAAGGAACAGAAAAACAAATTTTAAGAAATAATGGCTTTGATGATAAACATTAATCTATACTTCCAAGAAGCTTCAGTAACTCTAAATAGGTTATAAATCCAAAGATATTGACACTGTGCATCACATTAAAAATATTGAAAATCAGAAACAAAGATAAAATCTTAAAAATAACAAGAGAAAAATGACTCATTATTTACAAAGGCGCCCCAGTAAGATTAATAGCTAGCTGACTTCTAACTTCTTATCAGAAACATGGAGGCCAAAAATAGTGAGATAATATATTCAGAGTGTTGAAAGGGAAAAGCAAAACGAAAAACTGCCATCCAAGAATCTTATACCAGCAAAATGGTCTTTCTAAAATGAATTTGAAATAAAAACATTCCTGGATAAACAAAAAAGAATTTGTTGCTAGCAGTCCTACCTTAAAAGAAATACTACAGGAAGTTTTCCGGGTTGATAGTGGGTGACTGTCATATAAAGCAATTTATATGAAATATTTGGATAGGCAAATATATATATATTTTTTTGAGTTGGAGTCTCATTCCATCGCCCAGTCTGGAGTGCAGTGGCACACTCACAGCCATTCAGCATCTACCTGCTGGGCTCAGGTGATCCTTTTGCCTCAACCTTCCAAGTAGCTGGGACTACAGATGCGCGCTACCATGCCCAGATAATTTTTTTGATTTATTGTAGAGATGAGGTCTCTTCAGTTGCCCAGGCTGATCTCGAGTCTGTGAGCTCAGACAATACTATCACCTCGGCCTTCCAAAGTGCTAAGATCACAGGCTTGAGCCACCATGCCTGGCCAGGATAGGCAAATCTTTAAGGATAAAAAAGTAGATTAGAGAGAGGTTGCCAAGGGCTGGGGGAGGAAGGGGACAATAGAGAATGACTGCTGATGGGTGTAGAGTTTTCTTTTGGGGAGTTGAAAATGTGCTAAAACGGATTCTGGTAATAGTTGCACAACTCTATGAAAGAATAAAAACTATTGGGTTGTACATTTTTTTGTCAGGTTCTCCCTCTGTCACCAGTCTGGAGTACAGTAGCATAAGCACGGCTCATCATAGCCTTGAACTCCTGGGCTCAGGTGGTCTTTCCACCCCAGCCTCCCGAGTGGCTGGGGATTGCAGGAGTGTGCTACCACATACATCAACTATTTGGTTTTCCTTTTTAACTGTATGTTCTTTTTTAATATTGAGCAACAATGAAGTATTGTAGACCAGCAAAAAGTCTATCTTTAGGTACTTCTGTATCATTAAACAGAACTGTTTCACCAGTGTCAGTTGTTGCTTTGAGAAAAGAATAAAATATATATGCCAAGTCATGGTGAAACCCGTGCCATAAACTGATTGCTATTCTGTTAACAGTAAAACTACCATGACAACACTGTCTTGAATGTCCTTTGCTCATATCTTTATGGCTATGGCTTACAATTGAATGTATGGAATAAAGGGTACTCAAAAGAAATTTTTTTTTTTGAGTCAGAGTTTCACTCTGTCACCCTGGCTGGGGTGAAGTGGCTCATGGCCACCCTGGCATCAACCTGCTGGGCTCAGGCGATCCTTCTGCCTCAACCTTCCAAGTTGCCAGAACTATGATGTGTGCTACCACACATGGCTAATTTTTTGATATATTATAGAGACAGGGTCTCACCAAGTTGCCCAGGCCTGGTCTTAAACCCCTGGGCTCAGGCAGTCCTCTCTCATCAACCTCCCAAAGTGCTGGAATTACACAAAAAATGTTTTTCAGTTTTAATTTATATTTTTTATCAAGCAGTTCTCAGAACCAGGAGAGGTTCAGAGAGTTCCCAGATACTCAACAATTTTGGAAGACTGCTTGGGACCTGTAGATTAAAGAATGAAGTCAGGCTTCTAAAATCTAGTAGAGAATGAACTCAAAATAAATGTGTACATAAAACCTGCAAAGTACACTGGATGCAACTGAAACAAAGAAGGGGTATAATTTATGCAGTGATTTTTGAAAAATAGCCTTTTGTTTGTTTTTAGAAGTAGCAACTTTTCCCAATGATCTTTTATTTATTAGTATTATTATTTTTTGATTTGTGAGGATATATTTGGCAATATATCTAAGCTTGGCATTTTACTAATGAAAAAAAGTCACTAATTTCCTAACTCTTTGAGGGAATAAAATCTGATTTTATTGTAGAAAATTTACCTAATAGAGAATAAATAAGTAATATAATTTTGCCTCTTATAAATTATTGAAAAGTAAGTATTAGCTACTTGGATATAATTCATCTGATGAGAATGTTTTTGTCTTTATTTTGGTTTAGCACAACCATGCATTTGCAAGCGGATACTTTGTAGATGCTGTAAAGTTTTCATCAAATAGTAGTTTTAAGTGATTATCATTAAGGAATTATCATAATTCGAAAATTTTTGGTAACAATTTAAAATACATTATTTTGTTAAGATGGCAAATTAAAATATGCAGGGATTTAAAAGACCAGTTTTAAAGACTGAATCAATTCAAATGTGAATTGTATGTCTCATTCTTTTACATGGGGAAAAACTGTCTTCTTCATAGTGGCCTGGAGAATGGATCTGATCATATAATTTCCTACATGAGAAAGGATCATTTCAGGGAAATAATAATGTTTATGAAGCTTGAAATTATGAAATTTTAAATGTCATTATCTCCCAAACATAATTTTTTGTGAGACTCCCTAATTTTTTCAATTTGCAAAGTTCATTATATTGAAAGATAGTTGTTTATCAAATACCAGTTTGATTAAAGAAAGCAGTTATCTTTTGCATTTAGGATTTAACATTTAATGTCTTTGATTTCAGGTAGCTGTAGCCATACCTAATAGACCTCCTGATGCTGTACTTACAGATACCACCTCACTTAATCAGGTAAGTCTGGTTTTTTTGTTTGTTTTTTTGAGTCTGGGTTTCACTTTATTAACCAGGCTTAAGTGCAGTGGCACAATCATGGATTACTGCAACCTTGACCTTCTGGGCTCAGGGTATTCTTCCACCATAGCCTCCTGAGTAGCTGGGATATACCACCATGCCTGGCTAGTTGTTTGATTTTTTTTTTTTTTTGGTAGAGATGGGGATCTTGTTACATTGCCTAGGGTGGTTTCAAACTTCTGGGCTAAAGCAGTTGTCATATCAAAGTGCTGGGATTACAGATGTGAACCACTGTGCCCGGCCTAAGACTATATTTTTGAAAAGTGAAAAGTTCACCTGGTTGATGATACTTTTTTAGTTATAATGCTACCCTATAATGTTATGCAACTAAAATGTGGTGCCTGTGTCTTCAGCCTAATGAACATAAACACATGTTTTCTGTGATTGGAATTCATTCTTTCTAAATTTTTTTAATCAATTTTTTTACCACTAAATACCAAAAGAAAATATAGAATAGTTTTTTATCAGTCAATTCAAAAAACATTGTGCTTTGTTGACAATGGGGTACTTGCCTGAGAGCAACTGCTTACCTTAATAGTGAAGAATTTTATGAAAACATTAGACTAAGTGCAGGATAAAAGATAGTTAAAAGTCAAGTATTAGTCATCCTTTACCCTTCAAGAAAGAAAGCTGTGCCATATTATTGCTTCCATGTGTTCTGGGATGCAGTGAGGGGCCTGGATATAATGTCCTGCACCCCCACAACCAAAAGGGGTGAAGGACCACATTACTTGGAAACAGGTTATTTATGCTAAATTTAAAGGACAGGCAAATAAAGCATCTTAGAAGCAGTAGGTGTTTTAATTTTTTTGTTTAGCGTAAAAAATTTGTTTTCTGATGGAGAAGGTAAAATGCCCTGTCAATTTACAAAAATTTGTTAACATGCAAAATCTGTGAACATGCAAAAATTTGTTAAAGAAATAAAAGATACCATAAAGATGAGAAAAGCAAGCTTATTTTTGAAAGACCTTAAGATTCTTCTCTAAGGTGACCAGAAGACTAACTGTGCAGATGTTAGCATAAAATCCTTAAGCCTCTGCAGTAATGCTGAACATGAGCGTGTAACAATGGGAAATTATAATAAAGTTCACATATTTTAAAAAATTTTGGTATAACTGATATGAGAACTTCTGTAGAAGTTCTGTAGAGAAACTTATGTTTCCTAGCAAATAGAAATATAATTTCAAGAACCATAAAGAATTAAGATTGGTACTTATGAAATGTATTTTTTTCTGTACCGTATAATTAGGTGATGGAGAAAACACGACTTCATTACTCGGATTATTTTTTACCTTTCAACATCTTTTTCATCACTTTCATCTCTTACTTTTTTTAAAAAATCAGTTTCTTAAGAATGTACTCATATTTATGTTTATATAAGACTTGGTAGAGAAATTTTGTTAGGGTTCTAAAGAACAGAAAAGATTCATGGTTTCATGGTTCAGAAAACCCAGCAAATACTTTTTTATTCTTGAGTGACACTGAAATAAATAAAATGTATTTGCTATAGATAAGAAAAGCTGAATAGTTTCTAAAGTTTGAATTTCTATACATTGTAAATAGAGGTTTTTGTTTTCTTTTACTCTTTTTCAGATGACTAGAACTTTTTGTTGGTTTTTAGGTAGGGTTGAAAATTTTGCTGTGTGACAAATGCCAGTTTTAAAGTCAACAATTTTTTGTATAAATAATGGGCACTCATTTGGTGACCATTTTGTGTCATCATTTGAGAATATGATGAAAGCTGTATGCTGTTTCTTTCAAAAAACTTTTTACATAAAACTTCACATAAATTTCAGGGGATTTGTGGGACATCTGAAATTGGATCTGTGCTACAGGAAATACAAGTCAAATAGAAGAAATGTCATCTATTTGTAGATTCTGAAATAATGGAGCACCTGTTCCTAGAAATGAATGATTCAATACAAGTCTTTGATTTGTGGTATAAGTGTTGTAGACATCAGAGGAGGAATATTCATCAAAGAATGCCATATGGAAGGTTTTGGTAATAAAGATGGGACTTGACTGAACTAAGATGGTGTATGGGGCTTTTCTCCCCACATATGTAGAGCTTGTGGTGTGGCAGGGAAGCGATTGAGAAGTAATGATAGTGGAGTCTAAGAAAGGAGACGAGCATGATGTGTGTATAAGGAGTAAGAATTACAGCATTCACACTGGAGAGTAGTGGAAGGTGTTTGTGGGTGGGCAGATCTTTAAGAAGTGGACATAATAGAAAAAATATGCCATTATAGCATAAACTTTGAGCTAGGTATTTATGTTAAGTAACTTTTCAATCAGTAAGGAAACTGGCAACCATAAATTTTTAACTTTACCAATATCACTTCTGGAATATTCTATAATATCTTTGGGGGAGTTTCTTCATCTTCAAACTGGCATGAAAATTCAAGTGTTTCTAGTTTTTAATACTTCATCAACAGAAAAATTCACTGCAATGATCTAGAAAGACCAGGTAATAAATAGATATCAAATATCAGTCTTTGTATTTGAGAAGAATGAGAACAAATATCTGTAGTTTCTCCAGATGCATATCCTATACTATTATTCTAATAACTAAGATTTTAGTTATTATTATTAAGTAAAGTTAATCTTTTGCATATCAGTTCTACCATCCCTTGAATATAATTCCTGGAACCCCCTCGGGTCCCCTCCCACTGTGGGAGCATTTCTTTCCTCTTAATAAATTCTACTTTTTTAAAAAAAAAAAGAATGAAATATAATTCCTTCCAACATTAGCTGAGTGAAATGAAAAAATATATAATTCTTTATTAAAATTACTGCTGTGCTGAACTGAAAGCAGATATGGGCTCAAAAACAGGTCTAATATCAGGAGACCTTTGCAGAATAAGGACAGTCCTTTCTGGGGCCCTAAACTGTTAAAAGATCACGCATGAATGCTGATTGGACCATCTGGGTCACTTGGAGATACCTTTTGGAAGCTACTTGTTATCTAATGGGATCATCTAAATTGAACAGCTGGTCAGCTCTGTATTTTTAGATGCAGAGACTGATAGTATTCCTAATGTTGCAAATATCATCTTATCTCCTTAGTGTGTTCTTTCTCTGTGATTTTCCTTTAGAGTTTTAGGACCTTAAAGTGACATAAGCATTCAGAAAAGACTCCTTGGAACTATCTCAAAGCTACTACAGTACCCATTTCCTTTGTCTTCCAATACAACATGTCACCTTCATTTGACATACTGTGTGGGTGAAAATTTCAAATAAATCATTGAAAAGCGAAAATAAGTTATTAAGAAGCCAAAAAAAAAATTATCATGCATATTATAACTACTCTTGTCTCCCTCCCTCCCTTCCTTTCTTCCTTCCTTCTTTCTGTTCTTCCATCCTTCCTTTTATTCTTGGTTTTTTCCTAAACAATGATTTGTTATTTTCCAAGACTCTTTGGGTTTACTGGGTGATACTTCTGCTACAGTTGTGTAGCTGCTTTTAAATGATGGCTGCACAGGGCTGGAAGGCTCCAGTGGCTTCTGTTACACATCTGGGGACCTTAGTGTTAGCTGTTGGCTGGGTGTACCTCAAATCTTCTCTATATGACCTCTTTCTTCCTGGTGATGTCTCATCTTCCAGGGCCTTTTTCTATGTAAATTAAGGTTAAAAGGACCTTTATTTAGACTTCTGGAACTCTTTTTCTGTGAAGCTGCCTCCTCTTTAGTACATACAAATTCCAACTGTGTCAGCCTCTCAGGATTCTGATCTCTATTTTTCAGTGCGTGAGAGAGACCATTTCACTATGTTTAAGATTTCCTTCTTGCATTGCAGTCTGGGAATTCTGCCAGGAGAAAGCAATGGCAGTTTAGAGCTCATCTTGTTTGTTTCTTTTCTGGCAAGAATCCTAGTCCTGCAGTACCTATTGTCTCATGTCTAAGTACAGTGGTAATACCCACCTTTTTTAAACAAACAATTTTCTAGTTTGTGGTGGAGGAGTAAGTCCATTCCGGGTACTCCAACTCCATCATGGTCAGAAATAGAAGTCCTATATATCTCTTTAAATGCCCTTAGTGCCTCATTTAATCTATTACTAGCTAGTTTTTCAGTTTTTAGTGCTTTCTGTTGGCTTCCAGAAAGTGTGGTGACTTTTCCCTATTGTTATGCATGTCTTTCTGCTAATCCTACTTTATCTAAGTAAACTAGTGATATGAAAATCTGGACTAAGCAGAAATTTAGTTGTAATAGCAAGCTATCAGTCTATTTTCTTACCGGGTGAACTAGTACTCAGGATTTAGTGTACGAGAATGAAAGTTTATGAAAAGTCTTTGATGCTTATATGTCTAGTATTGTGTTATAGGTTTCCATTTAAAACACTCCATTAAGAAAGTTGGCATACATTTTGCTTGATAAGAAGAGGCTATAAACATTCACCTTATCTTCATTGTGTTTTAATGAGAGTAGCTTGATGGATTCCTTTTTGTGAATTTTTCCTTAGGCGGTAGTAACAGTGTTATATCCAGATGTAATTCTTGGCTTCCCTTATTATTTTAGTAGCAGTTATCACAAAAAACATTTTACCATAGGTAATCTTTATTGTTAGAAATAATTATTTTTAAAAATCAGAACCTCAATTAGTTACATTATGATGCAGCTTTTATACAATAACCAGCCATAATTTCTGTTTCATTTAACTTATTCTAGGAAAACACTGAGTACTAGTTATGTTTATAATGATTTCTCCACAGGCTGCTTTGTACCGCCTTAGTGGAGACTGGAATCCCTTACACATTGATCCTAACTTTGCTAACGTAGCAGGTGAGTTGCTAATCATATGTATCAATGAAAGTATTAGCTATTAGGTATTTAGTTATCTAAATAATGTACTTAAAGGTACTATAGGAAATGGTGCACTTGAAATCAGATTACAGTGAATGGAAGCTCCTTCTAATGCAAAGTCTAGGATAGGATGATGGGAGTAAGTATCTAAGTTATCATGAAAGACAAGGGTGTTGCAGAGAGAGCAAGGAACTGAAAGATTAGGGAAGAATCATCTACCCTCATGGATATTGAAATCATTATGGTTGATTATATGGATATAACCAGAACTAAACTAAACAATTGTGTTTCTAGATCTTTCACATTCTTTTTCTGTTTTGTTTTTTTTTTTTTCTTTCTCTGTTTATTTCATAATTTTCTCCCAGGAAATATTATTTATAAAATATTTTCTATGTTTCTAAAAATGGATAGTATAATTCATGCTAATGCAGTTTAAGGACATATTTTTAAAATCCTGAATTAACTATACTTGGCTTTTAAGCATAAAAGGTACCTATGTCTAACTCAGTTCTCTCTCTCATTTAAGGTTTTGACAAGCCCATATTACATGGATTATGTACATTTGGATTTTCTGCCAGGCATGTTTTACGGCAGTTTGCAGATAATGATGTGTCAAGATTCAAGGCAATTAAGGTAAAATGTACAGTTACATACTTTGAATATGAGTTGCTTTTTCTTTAGAGAAGAAAAGGAGTTTTATTGACTTAGTTTAAAATAGGTACTGTACTACAGCAGTATGCATTTGTATGACTTCACTAACTTAGCATCAGCAGATTTTCTTTTTGTTGCTATAAATAGCTCTGCTACACATACACGATGAAGGATAGCATCTGCAGTTACAGTTTTAGCAGATTAATTGAATTGTTTTATAAATTAATTAGGTACATACATATATTAGCACGTACGCCTTAAAAAAGATTTACATTTATAATTTGCCTTAGTATAATTGAAAATGTTAAGTGGTTACATTTGAACTCTAGTAAGCTTATACCTACAGCAATATGATGACTGCATATTGTATTTAATTTTTGTGCTTTTAAGTTGATTTCAAGTTTTTATCCATTATAAATAACAAAGAAAAATATCTGTGCCTACATTATTTTTGCATAAGTGTAAGTCAAAAGATGTACAAACAAGTTTAAGGCAATGCTCCAAGGGCTTTTATTTATGCTCCATGCTGCGGTGAAAATGCATTTTCTGATGCCTTGCCCTTGATAGCACTGGTTATTCTATTTTACTGTAACTATTTATTGTAACTATTTTTATCCTCCAATATTATATGCATGGAGCAAATAAAATAATACAGGTTATGAGATAAATAGTGGAATTATTTTGCCTCATATACTCAACCCAGGCCTCATTTTGCAGATCTAATTGTACCACTTTTAACTATTTCTTTAAGTTGTTCTGGTGATGCCTATATAACTCTACATAATATGACTGCAGTTTTATTTTTTGATTTGTTCAGATAAAACACTACTGATTCTGTGCTTTGAAAGACAAAGAATTAGCTTACTTATACCATCTATATCCCTTTCTACTAATTTAATCAAATTATGTTTTGGGTTATTATTAATTTAAATATATTTAAATCTCTGTTTTCTTTCTTTTATGCTTTCTGACCTCCTTTTCAATTTTGTTTTCACACAGATGGAAGAGTTTCATTTAAAAACATTTTTAACCCCATAATTCTTTTTTTTAAAGGTTCGTTTTGCAAAACCAGTGTATCCAGGACAAACTCTACAAACTGAGATGTGGAAGGAAGGAAATAGAATTCATTTTCAAACCAAGGTATGACTGCCAGAGTTAGAAGTACTTTGCTTTGTTACACTTTTAACCATGCTCTATAATTTTATTTTATCTTAGCGTTTTTTTGGTTAGTACTGTGATTTGAGACAAAACCTAGAAATTTTTTTTTAAAACCATTGATAACTTTTAATTGGAAATAAGATGCACTTTATCTTTTATTTTCAACTAAATTAGTACCTGTCAATGTAGCAGTAGTCCAGCTGTTCTGAGAACCTAACCAATCATGTCTTTTTGGCTCAACTAGTCAACCTAGTAATTGTCAAAATATAATCTTCAAAAAATTAAAGGTAACTGAATGCAGTGGCTCATGCCTATAATCCCAGCACTTTGGGAGACTGAGGCAGGAAGATTGCCTAAGACTAGAGTTTGAGACTAGTCTGAGCAAAGAGGCAACACTCTGACTCTAAAAAAATGAAAAGTTAACTAAGTGTGGTGGTGTGTACCTGTAATCTCAGTTACTTGGGAGGTTGCGGTGGGAGGATCATTTGAGCCCAGGAGGTTGAGTCTGCAGTAAGTCAGAATTGTGCCACTGTACTCCAGCCTGAGCAATGGACTGAGACTGACTCAAGGGGAAAAAACATTTAAAGGCATAACTCAGACAGATATACAATGAAAATACAATAAAAATTTACTTAACTCCCTAATGAAGTATCTTGCAACATTGATAAAATTTGTTTAAAAGAGAATTAGAACAACAATTTATATGGTCCAACAGGAAAGGCATTCTAAAATTATTTTGGTGAGTTAGAGACAAAACTTGTTAATATCCTACAGAACAATAACATCATGTTCCTTATAGTTATCTTTTTTTCTGGACAGAAATCATGTGCATTTTGATGACACAAAAACCCACAGATTAATATCTTGCATTACGTGTCTTACATGTAAGACATCTTACATAGTCTGGGCCTAATTAATAGTAAGTGACAAGTCAAATAAAGGTATAGCTCCCTAGATAGTTAAGTAATTTGGGAATGAGGCTTTTAGCAATGTTCCAGTAAATTACTAAAAGGATATGCAATCTTTTTTTTATTTGTAAGTTATTAAAAGATAATTTTTGTCAACACAGTTTACCAGGCTAATACTTTTTGGTGTGATCATTTTGTGCTATATAGAGCATGTTAAGTAACTACATTTAAATGTGAGAAAACCTAAGTTCCTAAGAAAATTTAAGTGTCCTATATAACTTGCTCATGTTCACACTGCAAGTGGTCAAGCTGGGATAGAAACCTGGATCAGCATGGCTCCAAAGTTTAGATCCCAGGGCCCTAACTCTCTTTACTGTATCATGTTTTCTTTCACAAATAGATAATTCTGCAGAATTCTTCTTATATGGTTGCCTTATGAGGAGGGACCAAAATAAAATCAGAATTATTTTGTGGAGGGCAGTTCCTTTGTAATACTGGCTTCCCCCACAAAGTGTTCTAGGAAACCACTGGCATCAGTGTACTAGCTAGTGATGTTGTGAGAGGCTGTGTTGGACTTCAGTGATTTTTTTTTGGAGATTCTTTCAACATGTTTCCCCATTTCATGATGGGTGATTTACACAAATAACCTGCCCACACTACACTGAATGTTCATCAGTTTTTGATCAAAAATGGCATTATTGCCATGGCTCACCCTCCCTATTTACCGAGTCTGAGTGACTTTTTTTGTTTCCCCGGGGTATAAAAGGTACTCATAGGGAAACATTTTGCTGATGTGGAGGAGGTGAAACAAAACACGGCAGAAGCACTAAACGGCATCAAAATTGATGTATTAAAAACTTGTTGTTTTGAGCAGTGGAAAAAGTGTCATGATAGGTGTATTGCATCAGTGGAAAGTAGTTAGAAGGTGACTGAAGTTTAAACATGTAAGAATAAAATACAATTTTTTATAAACAAATTCTGAGTTTTTTGGGGTCCCCCTCCATACTCCTAATTCCTTCCTGCTGCTTGTGGTATCATTTTCCTGCTTAAACTGCATGCTGTTTATTTGCTTTTCAAATTCCTCCTGCTTTTTAGGCTTCAGTTCAAGCTCTTCCTTACAGTATAGTCTCTTACTACTCCCCTCCTTCTCACCTGTAAGTGTACACACATTGGCATTCTCTGAAACTCTTCAGCATTTCATATTTGTGGCACACATTTTGGAGCCCTCTCATTTTCTAATTTTTTTGTGTGAGTAAGTTTTGTTTTTTGAATAAGATTATGAACTCTAAAAGTGTTGAGGCCCATGAATATATGACAGATTATTTTCCCACAATTCTAGTAATGAACAGAAATAAATACTTTCTATGAATACAAACGTGAAGGGCCAAGAAATAATATCTAAATGTAACATGTTCTTGCCATCTTGATAAATCCTAAGCATGCCTTCTTATTTTTTCAACTCATTTGCTATTTTTTTCTCAATGATTTGAGGTATTCTTTTTCTATTGGTTATTGGACTCCTTCCTTTCAGCCATTCCTTTCTGTTTTATTTTAAGCAATACTTAAACCAGTGTTTCAAAATGATATGCTTGACTTGGTTACAAAAGGATACTTTGTTAAAGTATATTTTCACTGCATATACTTTGAAATAAAATAAATAAATTGTTAGATTCCTTTTTTGGTCCAAGATATTATGGGACGTAGTTCAGGGAAAATGACCTTCCTGATTGTTTAAAATCACAGTTTTGATAAATGCAACCTTAATTTTTAGAAGCTTAGCCTAAAAATTTGTAGTAATACCATAACTTTTATGAAAGAGTAGCCATTGGAATAATTTGAGATGAAGGATCAGGAATTAGAATTTGAGTTCCTTTGACGATTATTTTGATTGAAGTCTATTTAATCATTTAGTTTATGTTGTTTAATGGGGGAAGAAACAAAAACAAAAACAACCAAACGAATAAAAAAGACAAATCTCTAAATACCAGTGCCCAGGCTCCATTCTAGACCATTTACACTGAAATTTTGGGAGATGGAACCTGGTCATAGATTTTTTTTTTTAAAGGGCTCCAGTTAGCCAGGGTTAATAACAATTGTATTAAATCAGAAAGCCTTTGTGCTTATTCATCTTGATATTAATCTTATCAGTCTTTTATTTTATTTGGATTATTATACTATTTTTCATATGAGGCAAAAATGTAACTTTGTTTTAAACTTTATCCTGTCTCACAATGAAATTGCATTTCTATTGTAATCATCAGAGTGCTTTTTTTATACTTCTTATAAGGTTCAAGAAACTGGAGACATCGTCATTTCAAATGCATATGTCGATCTTGTGGGAACATCTGATATTTCAGCTAAGACCCTCTCTGAAGTAGGTTATAAAAACTGGTATTCAAATCATTTCAGTTAAGATCACTTTAAGAATGTTCAGGCTACTTTATAAAGTTTGAAGTCCAAGGGTATTAATTCCCACTTCTTGGAATACTTTGGCAACTCAGGAATTTTTTAAACACTTTTTCTCAGGATACTGGGATATCTTTGAAGAGAAAATAATTAATTTTCTAGTTTTAGAGTTAATAAATCAGTTGTTTAATGAGAAATCTTAAGCAAACAGGATTTGGAGAAAAACAGATTACAAAATTAAATATCCTGTACCTTTTTCTTGATTTAAATATGTGTATAAAGCTTTGCATGCTCATGTAAAAACAAGAGTGTATATTATTTACTAAGACAAAATGTGTTATTCTTTATTAACATCTGAGACTTGACAGAAATGTTTATTTTCTGTGAAATACTAACTTTGTAATACTGAGATTTTCATACTTATGATTTTTAATTGTCATAAACCATATTATCACATAACTGACTGAAAATTAAAATCCTTTAAGAATAATTTAAGGTAAAACACTTAGGAAGTTTTAGAGCTGGAAAGATTTTTAGACTTCATGTAATTTAGTACTATTTTATAGTTTTTAGAGAAAGGACCACAGAAGTTGATTGATTTGACCTAGGATATTCCTGAAGTTAGCTAGGACATGGATTGTCCAGTTCCTAGTTTATTTTAAAAATATTTTTCGGAATTCTGATAAAGGTAAAATTCTCTTAGTAAGAGAACTGAAGTTCTGAATTACATACATAAATATAAGCAAAGTGTGAAAGATGCCTAGTATGCAGATAGTTTAACTGCCTTATTTATATACAGATAAAAAAAATTACTTTGCACAAATACTTTGTAACCATTTTTCTCCTAGAGTTATTTTTGCAGAACTTTTAAAATTAAATTTTCTCTTTTGGTTAGGGTGGGGAGCTTCAGAGTACCATTGTATTTGAGGAAATAGGTCGCCGCCTTAAGGATGTTGGGCGTGAAGTGGTGAAGAAAGTAAATGCTATCTTTGAGTGGCATATCACTAAAGGTGGAAGTGTTGCAGCTAAGTGGAGTAAGTCATATTCTTGATTTTGTAATATTCTAAGGTAACTCATAAATAGACATAATGTACCCTTGTTATAATTAAAGACCGTCCCTTTGAAGGTTGGCAAATCTTACCTTTTTTAGGTAAGTTTTCTATGGGAACAAACTGTTTTTAGGCACACAAAGATGTGTATGTGTGTGTTTTTTTTTTTAAAGAGATGTAGGAAATCAATCAAAATGAAAACATTTGTTTTAAAATTTTATTATAATACCCGAAATTAGTACTTTAGACAGTCATCTTAACTGTATGCTTCTTTAGCAAATCCTCAACTTCCTCCTTGAATTATTATTATTATTATTATTTTTAGATTAGAGAATATAGTTTATTTAGAAAGTAAATTACAAAGAGAAGAGGTGATTCACCTACCCAAAGTAGGGGAGAGGGCCAAAGCTTAAGAAAACATGGCCTGGCCATAGCTCAAAGAGCATATGGCCACACTATAGCTGAGCAAGGCAATGGCTGAATTATTTTTAAGTTAATTGTACTTTAACATTATAAAATTATTTTCTTCATATTAAAGTAGTAATTTGGATTTTCTTAGTTATCAGCATACAATTAGTATTATTTTCTTGACATACACAGATTGCAGTCAAAGGTGCTTATTTATGTACTTTAGAGAAATACACCAACTTGCTGCAGAAAGAAAGTAATCCTATTTCCTGTTACAAATATGGAGGTCCTAAAGGACCCTGGAACCATTTTATGAAGAGGAGAAATTAGAGGATAAAAAGAATAAGAGAAAAAAATCCTATCAAACTTTTTGCATCTGCTATATGGTTCATATCCTTAATCATGGCACAAACTTTTATTTATAAAATATTCTTTATTTATTTATAGAATATTCTAACCTTTATATTTTAGAGAACTCTAACCCTCTAGATTTTTTGAAGAAATATGGTGTACCAATGAATGTTCACTGAGACTTTTTGATTTTTCATGCTGTTCTATCTGGAAGTCCCAAGGGTCAGGATCCTTTCACTTTAGAAACACAGGTGTGGTCCCTGAATTGGCCCATTAATAAGGGACAGAAAGCATTCAGGGTAGTTTTTAGCTCAAAAGATTTATCCCTTCCTTCATAATTGTGAGACACAAAGGGATCCCATGTAGTTTAGTTTAGGTAAGAGCCCTTCGAATGCTGTGGGACTTCTGGGGAGGTCCTGTGATTTTACATCCAACTCAAGGCTGGTTGTAATCTGTCTCTGGGGACAGTAGGCATGTGTGTTAGATGTAGTATGATGTTCTATGTATTAGATGTATGAGGGGACCCCAAAAAACCTGGAATTCATTTATAAAAAATTGTATATTCTTACATGTTTAAACTTCAGTCACCTTCAAAGTTCTCTCTGTTTGATTCAATACATTGATCAAGATGCTTTTTCCATTGCACAAACGTTTTTAAACTTGTCAATTTTGATGTCTTTTCGAGTTTCTGCCATTTTTTGTTTTGCCTCTTCCACATCAGCAAAACGTTTCCCTTTGAGGACTTTTTTCACCTGGGAAAACATACAAAAGTTGCTTAGGGTGAGATTGGGTGAATTGGGAGGGTGGGGAACAGGGGGCATGCCAATGCCGTGTGGATAGGTCTGTTTATAAATTCCCCATCATGAAATGGGCAAATGGATTGAGAGAATCTCCAAAAAAAATTCACTGACTCCGAATGCAGCTTCTCACAACAATGCTAGCTCGTACGCTGATGCTGATGGGTTCCTAGAATACTTACCTAGCAGGGGAAGACTTTTCTCTTATTTTGGTGATACTTTCCTTACAGACCATATTAGAAACTGTACTTATATTTTGAAGTTATTTGGTGGCCCTTGTATGTAATCCCAGCACCTTGGGAAACTGAAGTAGGAGGATTGCTTGAGCCCAGGAGTTCGAGACCATCCTAGGCAACAAAGTGAGACCTTGTCTCTGCAAAAAAATAAAAAAAGTAGCAGGGCATGGTGGCATGTGCCTGTTGTACCATGGGAGGCTGAAGCAAGAGGATCATTTGAGTTTCTGGCTATGGTAAGCCATGATCATGCCACTGCACTAGATCTAGCCTGGGTGAGAGAGTGGATGCCGACTCAAAAAAAAGGGGGGGTTCCCCTATTATGTTTCCGCTGACAAAATGGGAATATTGAAATTCTTTTCATTGCTACATGTTATTGTTAAGCCTTATGACTTTTATTTGTTTCCTCACCTCTTTTTCAGGTCCTTATTTATCAAAGCTAACAATCATATTGGATCTCAAAGCTTTATCTGAAAGGATTCACCATTCCCTGTAGGAAGTCTCCTGGCTCCGTCTGTTATTGTTTTGATCCTTAGCAGTGTAATTTCAGTCTGGTTCTTGCTTTTGCCCAGTCTTTTTGTCATTGAGATGAACCATAGTTGTTGGCAGCAGTAGAAATGATCAAGGTCTTTTGACTTATGATATCTTAGAAGATGATTCTGTTTTGCAGTTTTGTGCTTAATGACATGAAGTAGATGACTGGGTAGTTGGCTTAGGGAATACCTAACTTTTTTTTTTCATACTTTTAACAGTGTTTTGCTAAACACTTAATTTCCACATATTTTGCATTTCAGATTGTTGTTAAGTTGTCCTACCCTTGTTCACATTTTGGCAGTTTACAACTTGGATACAGAGAACAGGACTGAGCACTTCAATTCAACATGGCTGGGCTCAGGTGTCCCTAGAATTTCTCAGGTTACTGACCTTGAGCATGTTTAGGAACTGAAGGATTTGGGTTCAGTGTCCTGGAAGGCCTGTTCCAGCCCAGATCCTGGACCATGCCCATCTTTCCTATTCCCTCTGCATCTTGCCATGTACACACCACCACCACATTTTTTGGACAGAGTGTGTGTGTGTGTGTGTGTGTGTGTGTGTGTGTGTGTGTGTGTGTGTGTGTGTGTGTTGTATTGGAGGATGTCTTTTCATACCATGTTAGTCTGGGTGTAAAGAGAATTAGGAGAATTGTGTGGTGTCAGTGCTGGGTCAGTGTTGGTTTTGGCTGGGGAGGAGGAGTCATAGCCGCGTTTTTGGAAGTTATTCCCCCTGAGTTCTGTAGTACATGGTTATCTAAGAGCCGGAGGGCTCTTTGGGTAAGGGCTAGTGTGACTCTGTCTTGCTAGGCTGAAACCCTTCTTCCTTCCTGTGGGCCAAGAAGGTGGACGGAGAGGTGTAGGCTCTTGGTCTACATAGGAAATCAGAGGGAGGGCCTCACTGAGGTACTTTTGAGAAGGAAGACATATCCTGGAATGTTCACTTGTACCTTCTTATTTCTGCCTCTGGGAACAAAGTTTTACCATGAAGTCTAATTTGGGAATTGATTAATAAAAGCATTATGATCCATAGATAGTGCTTCCTAGAGTAGCTAGAGGTCAAGATTAAGTCTTTCTTATTTCAGTATTGATATCTGTTATAATAGTAAGAAAACAATGATTTTGTCTGTATTTATTATTCTAAAATGGAATTGAATACCTGGACATATTTGAACACTTTTTTCCAGAATCCTATGTCTTCAGGTATTTTACCCTTTTGAAATTTGTCCTTTGGCCTTTTATTTTTCTAGTATTTCTTTGATTAGATTATAAGTAACTAACAAATATTACAGTATTTGTTACTATTAATTTCTAAAAATAGCCAAAAATTGTTCTAGTAAAATCTTTGGATCCTATTCTGTTGTTATAAGCAACAATGAAAATTCTGGGAAAATGAAAAATGACATAAAAGTGTAAGGAAGATAAAGAATCGGAGGCTTTATGTTGCCTACAGAAAAATCTGCCCCTGCAAATTGAAACACAGTTCCTCTTATCTGAAACTCCAGAAACCAAAAAGCTATAAAAGTGGGAAGTTTTTTTCCTCAGAATTCACTGGTGGCAAAACCTGACCTGAATTATAATGCTATTGATTGTCTTTAACTCACCAAGTGTGAATTAGTGGAGTTTAGAAGTGATGCATTTGTTTATAGAATGTTGTACCACTGGGGTCCTTTTGTAGCATGATATATATGTGTCTTATGTGTCACATTTCCTTACTGAAATCTGATTACAAATTCCAAAGTAGATCCAGGCTGAAATAATTCAGATAAGGAATTGTGCACCTATATATGTATATAATTAATTCTTATAGAACGCTAGTGATAAGAGACTTGTGGAAAAGATGCTCTTGGCTCTCAGAGAATGAAAGGATTGATTTAGTCAACAAATATTTGAGTATTTGACTATGTTCTGAGTCCTCTGCTAGGTTGGAGACTATATATATGGATAGAAAAGATGTCTTCTTTTAATCCATGGGAATAACCATTAGAGGCGGTGTGTCAGGAAGGTTGAAGTACTGTAGTTGAGGAAACAGTTTATGGTATTGCAGAGTAAATGGAAGGAAGACCTAAATTAAGGTAATGGTAATAAGAGAGAGGAGAGGGCCTATGTGGATCTCTTGCTAAGATAGAGTTGACTGACTTGGCTATTGCTATATCTGAAAAACAAGAGGAACAGGACAGGAGGGTTTTGAACCTGTGTGCTTGAGGAGGTTGGCTCTATTATTAGAAATGTGACACAGGGAAGAAGAGAAAGGTTTGGGAGAGTATATGATGAGCTGTGGTGTCAGCACTGTACCTGAGCAAGTTCTGGACTAGATTGTAGGGACTGTGGGGCTGGAACTTAAGGGTCAGTTCACAGGCGGAGGCAGGGAGTTGGAAGCCATAGTTGAGGAATTAATAGTTGGAACTGAAAACAGTAGCCTCGCCACCTTGCTTCACGGTGTTCAGAAAGAAAATGGAAGGGAGATTTTTGTTGATCCTGAAGGATTATCTGCTGTTTCTGTTCACTTTATGGAATAATGGCTCTAGTATTTCTATTTGTCTATAAACAAAATGAGCATCTTAGAATTTGACCCATAGACTTTAAACATGCAATTTATTATAACTCCAGGTACAGATACAATCCTCTGCTTCCAAATAGGAATCTCGTGTGTGTGTGTGTGTGTGTGTGTGTGTGTGTGTTTCTGATAGCTATAAAATAACCATACTACTGAAACTTTTCACAAAGATTTATTCCCATGTGCTAAATACAGTATTGCTGAGCAAAATCTGGTTTGTTTTCCTTAGGATGATAGGTTTAAGATGGTTGGCACCGAGCAATTTGGTTGTTTTCCTCCTACATTTTAATTTGATTTCCTTTCACATATTTGTAATCTTTTCCATTATAGGAATATAAGTGGAATTTACATTTAGATAGCAAGATTTTACTAATACTATGTAGTTTTGTTTGAATAATGTTTGTTAAGTAATAAGGTGAGCTGGGTTTTTTAAAAGATGCACTGAAATTAATGTGTAGAGCTGAGTCTACATATCTGAACTAAGTCCAGGTTTCCATTATGTACTATATGACAATGACTGGATGAAGATTTTCTTTGAATGTTAGAGGTCATCTGTTTTGAATCTTAGAAATTTGCCACAATATGGAAAAATGTATAGAGCTTTGGGAACTGGCATTATTTTGTACCAGAATACATTCATCTGTGAGGATACTAGGTGATCATTAGAACCTATGAGCTTCTGGGTTGGTGCTTATCTTCCAGCGGTCAAACCAGATCACCCTTTAGGGCTCTCAACTTGGATGTAAACTAAATCCTAAGGGTGTTGGTTCCAAATTTTGGGTTGGGATCTAAATGAACATCTCATGCATTTAATGAAAAGTCTTGAAAGATGACCTTTGAAAAGAAATATGCTCTCCATCAGAGATGGGGACCTGTTTGTTGGAGAGGTGTCTGCTTCAGAGTCACACTCTATTCCCTTAGCAAGAGTACCTGCTTCCCCACTTACCATCCGTAGCTCCCAACTGCCTGCCCGTGTGCATCTATTCTTCAAAAGTACATACAAAATAGTACCTTTTAAAGTCACTTAGAACAATTCTGGCTTTCCATCTTCTGTATGTGTTATTCAACTGGTA